CAGGCTTCTCCATCCATGGAATTCTCCAGGCAAGAAAACTGGGGTGGGTTGCCATTCCCTTCTCCAAGGGATCTTCCCAACCCACGGGTTGAACCCAGGTCTCCTGCATTGCAGGTGAATTCTTGACCATCTGAGCCACCAGGGAAGTCTTATCAACTAAGTTTATGTAAATCCTCTCTTGTCATTTCTACAATCTTCACAGCATCTTTACCAGGAGTAGATCCAACACACACACACACACACACACACACACACACACACACACCACTCTGCTTATCTATAAGGAGCAACTCTTAAACTGTTAAAGCTTTATCATGAGACTACAGCAATTTAGTCACATCTTAAGGCTCCATTTCTAATTCTGATTCTCTTGCTATTTCTCAGTTCAGTTCAGTCACTCAGTTATGTCCAACTCTTTGCGACCCCATGGACTGCAGCACACCAGGCTCCCCTGTCCATCACCAACTCCCAGAGCTTACTCAAACTCATGTCCATCGAGTCGGTGATGCCATCCAGCCATCTCATCCTCTGCCGTCCCCTTCTCCTCCTGCCTTCAGTATTTCCTAGCATCAGGGTCTTTTCAAATGAGTCAGTTCTTTGCATCAGGTGGCCGAAGTATAGGAGTTTTAGCTTCCTCAGTCCTTCCAATGAATACTCAGGACTGATTTCCTTTAGAATGGACTGGTTGGATCTCCTTGCAGTCCAAGGGACTCTCAGGAGTCTTCTCCAACACCACAGTTCAAAAGAATCAATTCTTTGGTGCTTAGCTTTCTTTATGCTCCAACTCTCACATCCATATATGGCTACTGGAAAAACCATAGCTTTGACTAGATGGACATTTGTCTGCAAAGTAATGTCTCTGCTTTTTAATATGCTGTCTAGGTTTATTATAGCTTTTCATCCAAGGAGCAAGCATCTTTTAATTTCACAGCTGCAGTAACCATCTACAGTGATTTTTGGAGCCCAGGAAAATAAAGTCTCTCATGTTTCCATTGTTTCCCCCTCTATTTGCCCTGAAGTGATGGGACCAGATGCCATGATCTTAGTTTTCTGAATGTTGAGTTTTAAGCCAGCTTTTTCACTCTCCTTTTTCACTTCACCAAGAGGCTCTTTACTTCTTCTTCACTTTCTGCCATACGGGTGGTATCATCTGCATATCTGAGGTTATTGGTATTTTCCCCAGAAATCTTGATTCCATCTTGTGCTTCATCCAGTCTGGCATTTTGCATGATGTAGTCTGCATATAAGTTAAATAAGAAGGGCAACTATACAGCCTTGATGTACTCCTTTCCTAATTTGAATCCAGTCCATTTTTCCATGTCCAGTTCTAACTGTTGCTTCTTGACCTGCATACAGACTTCTCAGGAGCAGGTAAAGTGGTCTGGTATTCCATCTCTTTAAGAATTTTCCAGGTTGTTGTGATCCACACAGTCAAATGCTTTAGCATAGTCAGTGAAGCTTGCTATTTCTACTATATCTGAAATTAATTCCACCACTGAAGTCTTGAATGCCTTAAAGTCATCCATGATGGTTGGAGTCAATTTTTTCCAAATTCCTGTTAACATTGATACTTTGTCCTCTTCCCATGAGTCATGCATATTCTTAATGGCATCTAGAATGGTGAATCCTTTCCAGGAGGTTTTTAACTGACTTTGCCCAGATCCAACAGAGGAATCACTGTCTTTGGCAACTATAGCCTTCCAGAATGTACTTTTTAAATAATAATACTTGCAAGTCCAAATTACTCCTTGATCCATGGGCTGCAGAATGGATCCTGTATTAGGAGGCATGAAAACAGCATTCATCTCACTGTATATCTCCATCAGAGCTCTTGGGTGACCAGGTTCTTTGTCAATGAGCAGTGATATTTTGAAAGAAAGCTTTTTTTCTGGGAAGCAGATCTCAACAATGGGCTTATAATGTTCAGTAAACAGACATGCTGTCATCCAGGCTTTGTTCCATTTATAGAACACAGGCAGAGTTACTTAGCATAATCCTTAAGATTCCTAGGATTCTTGGAATGGTAAATGAGCAGTGGCTTCAACTTAAAGTCATCAGCTTACAGCTTTTACAAGAGTCAGCCTGTCCTTTACAAGAGTCCTTCACTTAGCCCCTTTCCAAGAGAGTCAGCCTGTCTTGATGCTTGGAAGTGAGGCATTGACTTGCTACAAAAATCCTCGATGGGCTCTCCTTGCAATATAAGGCTATTTTATCTACATTGAAAATCTGTTGTTTGGTGGAGTCACCTTCATTAATTGTCTAGATCTTCTGGACAACTTGCTGCAGCTTCTATACAGAACTTGCTGCTTCACCTTGCACTTCTATGTTTTGGAGATGACTTCCTTCCATAAACCTCATTAACTAACCTCTGCCAGTTTCAGACTTTTCTTCTGCAGCTTATTTACTTCTTTCAGACTTCAGAGAGTTCTCAGAGAGTTAGGGCCTTGGTCTGGGTTAGGCTTTGGCTTAAGATAATGTTGTGGCTGGTTTCATTTTTTATCCAGACCATTAAAACTTTCTCCATATCATCAGTGAAGCTGTTTCAATTTCTTTTCATTTTCACTGGAGTAGCACTTCATTTTCTGTCAAGAACTTCTCCTTTGCCCTCACAACTTTGCTAACTGTTTGGCTCAAGAGGCTTATCTTTTAGCCTATCTCAGTTTTTGACATGCCTTCCTCAGTTAGCTTAACCATGTCTAGCTTTTGATTTAAATGAGAGACATGCAATCATCCTTTCACTTGTCTACTTAGAGGCCATTGCAGGGTTATTGGCCTAATGTCAATATTTTGGGGCTTCCCTGGTGGCTCAGATGGTAAAGAATCCACCTGCAATGCGGGAGACCTGGGTTTGATCTCTGGGTTGGGGAGATCCTCTGGAGGAGGGCATGGTAACCCATTCCAGTATTCTTGCCTGAAGAATCCCATGGGATTCTTCTGCCAGGGGAGCCTGGCAGGCTACAGTCCATGGGGTTGTGGGGAGTTGGACACAGCTGAGTGACTAAGCATAGCACAATGTCAGTATTTTTGTGTCTCAAAGAATAGAGGACTGAGGAAAGGGAGAGAGGTGGGGGAGCTGGTCAGTGAAGCAGTCTGAACTCATACATTTATAGAAAGTTCACTGTCTTATATGAGCATGGATTGTGGCGCCCCCCATACAAGTACAATAGTAACATCAAAGATCACTGATCACAGATCCCCATAACAAATATAATAGTATGAAGAAGAATATGTGAAATGTGGCAAGAATTATCAAAATGTGACACAGAGAAACAGAGTGAACTGATGCTATTGGAAAAATGGTGACAGTAGACTTGCTGGATGCAAAGTTGTCACCATGTAAGGTTGTCACAACCACTCAATTTGTAAAAAATGCAGTGTCTGCAAAGTACAATAAAGCCAAATGTAATAAAGGTAGGCCTGTATCGAAAAGAATATATATATATCAAATGTATTTTTTGATAGAGTCAAACTCCTTCCACAAAATTGATCATAGGCAAATAAACAAGTATGTATAGCTGTATTACAGGATTATCAGTATAAAAATGTTTTATGTTCTTTAATAAGAAATTGGATATGTAAATTGTGACACATTCATGCAATGGAATACTACACAGTCATTAAAAATTATGTTTTTTAATATAGATGTATGGATATGGAAAGATGTTCACTACCTATTATTATATGAAAAAACAGGTTATAAAATAGTATATAGAATATGATTATATTTTGCTAAAAGTATTACATATGAGTAGGAAAAAGTCTAGAAAGAGACATACCAAAATAATAGTGTCTGCGAATGGAACTAAAAGTGATTTTTAAAAGTTGTTTCTTCTCTATTGTCTGAATTTTAAAATAATGAACAGAGGATCTATCTATCATAAAAATAGAACAGATCTATCCAACCATCTATCATCTATATCTCTGGTGGGGCGGGGAGAGAAAATTCTATGTTGTTATTATTTTCCTAACTTTCTTATTGCTCTTCCATTCACTCGGTAACCCACTGCTATTTGGCTTTAGCACTTACCTCCACTGAAACTTGTTTGCCAATGTCACTGTGACTTTCCACTTGTCAAATCTAATGTCTATTTTTCAGTTCTCATCAATTGTACCTCTAGTTCTGTCCTCATAAACCATCTCTTCCTTTTAAAAGCTTTTTCCTCCTTTGAAATGTGTCACTTCTTTTTTTTTTCTTCCTCTTGAGCTAGATCTCAGTATATTTCATTTATTATATAGAGAATCATGGCCCACCCATTATTGCCCATCCCCCAGTAGATATTCCCCATTTGTTCATCTTTGTTCCTCAGTTCTTTGTATTTTATGTACTCATAGTATACTATTTTATGCGTGCATGTATAGCTCTATACCTATCATATATGTGTGTGTGTGTGTGTGTGTATATATATATATATATATATCTTTTTATAAAACTTCCCACAGGACATCATCCCCTGGATCATTTAAAACCATCTCACATTTTATATATAGTCACATCTGAAGTCTCTTCTTCCTTCACTCCTCTAGTATTCTTTTTTCTTTACAGCTTTCTGTGAATGGCATCACCATCTACCCTACCACCTGAATCAGACACCAGAAATCCTCCCGGGCCTAGCTTGTCTCCTCCTCATTCCTCATAGCCAGGCTGCTGATCCCACATCCTTAAGATCTTATGAATGAGTCCGTTTCCTCGTCTCCATTCCCACTGCCAGGCTTTATTTCAGGCACTGTGACTTTTTCCAGGATTTATGTGATAGTCTCTAGTCTTCAGGGTTCCACAGAAGCAGAATCTAAAACAAGGGCTTGTGTTAAGGTTTATTTGGGTAGTTCATCCAGGGGAGTAGGAATGAAGAAACAGGAGGAAAAGCCAACAGTCTGTTCTACCTAGCTGGCCACCACCACAACCACTCTTGCTCAGATCTGTTATGTGAAAGGAGGAAGTATGGATTTCTCAGTTCCCATTCTGGCTGTTTAAGGGTGGCACCATGGGCATAGGGTGGTACCTAGCAATTCCAGGCTGCAATTGGCCCAGCAGTGATTTTGACACCCCCCACCCCCCAAAGCTTCAGGGATCTCTGGTGCAGGAAGTGAGAGGTAGGTAGCACATACTCCAGCAATGGCTTCTGTAAGAAGAGGTGGGGTGAGAGGGTTTGAAATGACCCAGAGGAAGTATCTGATGTGCCTTCTAACTGATATTCTTGTCCTTCTGAAATCCATCCTTCAGAGTGAGAGTAGCCTCCCTAAAACAAAATGAGTACATTATTGTCCTGCTTAAAATGCTTCAATATCTCTCCTAGAGTATTCCAGAGAAATATATGCTCCTTAGCATATTATAAAGTGTGAAAGCCCCTCCCTTTATGATCTGGCTCCTTCTCACTTCCTTAGAGCCATCACTCACCACTTCTCCAAATAAATCCTTCCCAGAACATGCCTGACTTCCCTGACATGCTCCTTTTCTATCCTGTACCCTCTCCTGAGAATGACTTTCTTCTCCTTTTTAGCTTAACTCAAGAAGATACAAACAAGTTAATCCTAAAGAAAATCAACCCTGAATATTCATTGGAAGGACTGATGCTGAAGCTGAAGCTCCAGTACTTTGGCCACTTGATGCAAAGAACTAACTCATTGAAAAAGACCCTGATGCTGTGTAATTGAAAGCAAAAAGAAACGTGTAACAGAGAATGAGATGATTAGACAGCATTACTGCCTCAATGGACATGAGTTTGAGAAAACTCTGGGAGATAGTGGAAGATAGAGGAATCTGGCATGCTGCAGTCCATAGGGTGGCAAGAAGTCAGACACAACTTAGTGACTGAACAACAAAAATTCTCTCCTTCAAGAAACCCTACTTGACAGTCTACCCTTCTTCCCAGGCTGGGTTAGTGCCCGTCCTAACTGTCCAGCAGCACCTGTGTTTACCTTCATCATAAAAGTTACTATATTCTGTTAAATTTGGGGGAGGTCTAATTTATCTGTTAAACTAGATTGTCAGTTCCTAGAACATAATAAGTGCTCAATAACTGCTGAAATTGTTCCAAAGTCTATGGGAAAACTGCCTATCAGGCAAGATCAACCAACTGTATTAGTGAAACGAAGAATAACCATATCCAATGTATATCTTAATACCTTTGATGTTTTAGTTCCTCTGAGAAGGTGTTAACCTAACACATGTCTATTAGATGTACTTAGGGAGAATGCAGATTTTAAGCACTGCATGAAGGTGTGGTAGGTGAAGAGATGAGAGAGGTGGCCCCTCTGACATGCTAGAATGGTTCAAAGAGCAGTCTTGTTATTACTGATGGAAACACCGCCTCTCAGATCACCTGCTTGAAAGAGGTGTGAAAACTGATAACTTGTGTAACAATTTGCTAGAGGAAGTGTTTCAGACCCACAGGTAAGTTGCATGCACACACTGGAGCTGGCAAAACTGTCATGAGTCTGAATGAAATTGGGCTGTGGGCCAGCATAGTTTCTGTTGAGTTTGGAAATATGACATCAGGCACTAATATTGTACCTCCCCAAGAACTGAGTCTTTCCTCCAGGAGGTGTGGTACTACTATAACCCCAGAGAGAGGCAGAGACTCAGGAAAATATTGTAGACTGAGAGATTATTTTTCGCTTTCAAATAAATCTGCCTGGCTGAATCCATTTGTAAAAGAATAGATTTGGCTTGATTTGTTTAGCTTTTGTGGTTCAGTTTTCATAGAATTAATTTGTGCCAAATATAATTCCATTTTTTAAATGAATAATTGTATAATTCTTTACTTGATTAGAAAAATAATAAGTATGGATATAGAAACTATCTCCGGTTTTCATGTTTCCAATGGTTGCCTTTCTATCTTTAAATAATACCAAACAGTGTTGTTTCTTCAACTGTCAACTTCAGGCGTTATTTAAAGCTGAACTCTGAGAAGCTGGGAGGTATTGTGTCTACTTAAACTGTACTTTCTCTCCTCCCCTTCCACCTCAAACTTAAAACAATTGTTATTATTTTAATTTTGCAGAGACAGCATCTCATGACTCTCAATGATGTTAGATAATGTTAAACATTTATTTGGAAGAGGGTGTTTGCTATGACCAGTGTGTTCTCTTGGCAAAACTCTGTTAGCCTTTGACCTGCTTTGTTTTGTACTCCAAGGCCAAATTTACCTGTTACTCCAGGTATCTCTCGACTTCCTACTTTTGCATTCCAGTCCCCTATAATGAAAAGGGCATCTTTTTTGAGTGTTAGTTCTAGAAGGTCTTGTAGGTCCTTATAGAACTGTTCAACTTCAGCTTCTTCAGCATTACTGGTCGGGGTATAGACTTGGATTGCTGTGATATTATGCTGTGATGTAAATATTACTCTGATATCTCCAAGGTTTGCCTTGGAAACGAACAGAGATCATTCTCTCGTTTTTGAGATTGCATTCAAGTACTGCATTTCAGACTCTTGTTTACTATGATGGCGATTCCATTTGTTCTGAGGGATTCTTACCCACAATAGTAGATACAATGGTCATCAGAGTTAAATTCACCCATTCCAGTAGTTTACTGATTCCTAAAATGTCTATCTTCACTTTTGCCATCTCCCGTTTCACCAGTTCCAATTTGCCTTCATTCATGGACCTAACATTCCAGGTTCCTCTGCAATATTGCTCTTTATAGCATGGGACGTTACTTCCATCACCAGTCACATCCAAAACTGGGTGCTGTTTTTGCTTTGGCTCCATCTCTTCATTCTTTCTGGAGTTATTTCTCTACTCATCTCCCGTAGCATATTGGGCACTTATCAACATAGGGAGTTCATCTTTCAGTGTCCTATCTTTTTGCCTTTTCATGCTATTCATGGGGTTAGCAAGAAAAGAATACTGAAGTGGTTTGCCATTCCCTTCTCCAGTGGACCACATTTTGTCAGAACTCTCCACCATGACCCGTCCATCTTGGGTGGCCCTACATGGCATCGCTTATAGTTTCATTGAGTTAGACAAGGCTGTGGTCCATGTGATAAGTTTGGTTAGTTTTCTATGGTTGTGGTTTTCATTCTGTCTGCCCTCTGATGGATAAGGATAAGAGGCTTATGGAAGCTTTCTGATGGGAGAGGCTGATGGAGGGGGAAACTGGGTCTTGTTCTGATGGGTGGAGCCATGGTCAGTGAATCTTAAATCCAATTTTCTGTTGATGGGCGGGGCTGTGTTCCCTCCCTGTTTTGTAACCTGAGGCCAAACTATGGTGGAGGTAATGAAGATAATGGCACATCCTTCAAAAGGTCCCATGCATGCACTGCTGCACTCAGTGCCCCCAACCCTGCAGCAGGCCACCGCCGACCCACTCCTCCACCAGAGACTCCTGTACATGCACAAGCAAGTCTGGGTCAGTCTCTTGTGGGGAAACTGATCCTTTATCCTGGGTCCTGGTGTGCACAAGGTACTGTTTGTGGCCTCCAAGAGTCTCTTTCCCCAGTCCTGTGTAAGTTCTGGAGGCTCTAAGGTGGGTTAATGGTGATCTCCTCCAAGAGGGATTATGCCATACCCAGGTCTGCTGCACCCAGAGCCCCTGCCCCTGCAGCAGCCCACTGCTGACCTGTTCCTCCTCAGGAGACACTCAAACACAGTTCTGGTTCAGTATTCTCTGTGGGGTCTCAGGGCCTCTGGGTCCTGGTGTGCACAAGGTTTGTTTGAGCCCTCTGAGCATCTCTGGCACGTAATACCAAAATCAGATTGACTATATTCTTTGAAGCCAAAGATGCAGAAGCTCTATACAGTCAGCAAAAACAAGACCAGGAGCTGACTGTGACTCAGATCATGAACTCCTTATTGTAAAATTCAGACTTAAATTGAAGAAAGCAGGGAAAACCACTAGACTATTCAGGTATGACCTAAATCAAATCCCTTATGATTATACAGTGGAAGTGAGAAATAGATTCAAGGAATTAGATCTGATAGAGTGCCTGAAGAACTATGGATGGAGGTTTGTGACATTGTACAGGAGACAGGAAGCAAGACCATCCCCAAGAAAAAGAAATACAAAAATGCAAAATGGTTGCCTGAGGAGGCCTTACAAATAGCTCAGAAAAGAAGAGAACCAAAAAGCAAAAGAGAAAAGGAAAGATATGCCCATTTGAATGCAGATTTCCAAAGAAAAGCAAGGAGAGATAAGGAAGATTTCCTTAGTGATCAATGCAAAGAAATAGAGGAAAATAATAGAATGGGGAAGACTAGAGGTCTCTTCAAGAAAATTAGAGATACCAAGGGAACATTTCATGCAAAGATGGGCACAATAAAGGACAGAAGTGGTATGGACCTAATAGAAGCAGAAGATATTAAGAAGAGGTGGCAAGAATACACAGAACTATACAAAAAAGAGCTTCATTACCCAGATAACCACGATGGTGTGATCACTCACCTAGATCCAGACGTCCTGAAATGTGAAGTCAAGTCGGCCTTAGGGAACATCGCTATGAACAAAACTAGTGGAAGTGACGGAATTCCAGTTGAGCTGTTTCAAACCCTGAAAGATGACACTGTGCAAGTGCTGCACTCAATATGCCAGCAAATTTGGAAAACTCAGCAGTGGCCACAGGACTGGAAAAGGTCTGTTTTCTTTCCAATCCCAAGGCAATGCCAAAGAATGTTCAAACTACTGCACACTTGCATTCATCCCACATGCTAGCAAAGTAATGCTCAAAATTCTCCAAGCCAGGCTTCAGCAATACATGAACTGTGAACTTCCAGATGTTCAAGCTGGATTTAGAAAAGGCAGAGGAACCAGAGATCAAATTGCTGACATCTGTTGGATCTCGAAAAAGCAAGAGAGTTCCACAAAAATATCTATTTCTGCTTTATTGACTACACCAAAGCCTTTGACTATGTGGGTCACAACAAATTGTGGAAAATTCTTTAAGAGATGGGAATACAAGACCACCTGACCTGCCTCCTGAGAAATCTGTATGCAGATCAGGAAGCAACAGTTAGAACTGGACATGGAACAGCAAACTGGTTCCAAATCAGGCAAGGAGTACATCAAGGCTTTATATTGTCACTCTGCTTATTTAACTTATATGCAGAGTACATCATGTGAAATGTTGGGCTGGATGAAGCACAAGCTGGAATCAGGATAGCTGGGAGAAATATCAATAACCTCAGATATGCAGATGACCCCACCCTTATGACAGAAAGCCAAGAAGAACTAAAGAGCCTCTTGATGAAAGTGAAAGAGGAGAGTGAAAAATTTCACTTAAAACTCAACATTCAGAAAACTAAGATCATGGCATCTGGTCCCATCACTTCATGGTAAATAGATGGAGAAACAATGGAAACAGTGAGAGACTTTATTTTCTTGGGCTCCAAAATCACTGTAGATGGTTACTGAAGCTGTGAAATTGAAAGATGCTTGCTCCTTGGAAGAAAAGCTATGATAAACCTACACAGCATATTAAAAAGCAGAGACATTACTTTGCCAACAAAGGTCTGTCTAGTCAAAGCTATGGTTTTTCCAATAGTCATGTACAGATGTGAGAGTTGGACTATAAAGAAAGCTGAGTGCTGAAGACTCGATACTTTTGAACTGTGGTGTTGAAGAAGAATCTTGAGAATCTCTTGGACTGCAAGGAGATCCAACCAGTCCATCCTAAAGGAAATCAGTCCTGAATATTCATTGGAAGGACTGATGGTAAAGTTGAAACTCCAATACTTTGGCCACCTGATGCAAAGAACTGACTCATTTGAAAAGACCCTGATGCTGAGAAAGATTGAAGGCAGGAGGAGAAGTGGATGACAGAAGATGAGATTGTTGGATGGCATTACCAGCTCGATGGACATGAGTTTGAGTAAGCTCTGGGAGTTAGTGATGGACAGGGAAGCCTGGTGGGCTACAGTCCATGGGGTTGCAAAGAGTCAGACACGACTGAGCAACTCAACTGAACTGAAACATTTATTTTGTGCTTACCAAATACCAGGATCTGTTCTCAGCCCTATATACATATATACATATGTATATATATATGAACTCATTTTTCCTAAATTGGATCTATGCAATAAAGATGATTATCCCCACTTTTCAGGGTGGAAACTGAGGCACAGAGCAGTTGCATAACTTGTGCAAGGTTACCAGTTGATAAGTGGTAGAACTGGGATGGCAATATTACCTGTGATATTAATTGTTATGCTCTAACAGTTTCCCATGGACAGAGACGACTGGGGGCTATAGTCCATAGGTTCGGGAGAGAGTCAGACTCAACTTAGTGACTAAACAACAACAGTTTCCTTTGGAGAAAACTATTAGAAATCAGAGCTTCCTAGGTTGCTCAGTGCTAAAGAATCCACTTGCCAACGCAGGAGGGTTGGGAAGATCCCTTGAAGAAGGGAATAACAACCCAGTCCAGTATTCTTACCTGAAGAATCCCATGGACAGAGGAGCCTGGTGACTACAGTCCATGGGGTCGCAGAGAGTCAGGCATGAGTAAGCACTAGTCGTGTCTAAGCATCTAAGTGTGTGTGCACTAGAAACCATGTGTCCACGGATTCCCTGCATCTAACAGGTTTATTTCCCTTTTCACTCCCCACAGATATCCTGCTCACCTTCCACAGTGGGAATATCATTCTTCCTTCCCTTTCCTCTCTGGCTCTTCTTCCCCAGAGCATGCCCTCTCTTCTGTTTGCCTGTAGGTTCCGGAATCCTGGGCAGTGTGGAGGGAGAGGCGGTACCGATGGTGGGCATGCTCTTCTTATTCATTGTCCAGACTTCAGTGTGATGAGTGTGCTGAGGAAGGGGGCTGCGTGGAGGCCATGTGGGCGGACAGCATTAAACTGTGTTCTCTGAAAAAAACTCTTAATTTTATATTGTCAAAATTTATAGTGTTTACATTCTGTTATGTAACATTTTAAAGTGTTACATGTTCAGTTTATAGATTAATTCAAAGACAGCATTAATAAGCAACATTTATATTATCATGACCAAATGAATACCATCCAGTGTGGAGACAAGTAAGTCATGTGTTAGGATTAAAAACTCCATGTTTCAACTTTGGTACCAATCAAAGCCAAATGATCCTTGCATCTGGTTCAAGTGGATTTCCATTATCAACAAGCTCTCTTCCAGATGCTCAAAAGCATGTCACATTTTAGTTTACATGGCTCCAAGGACTTTCTTTACTTCTTTCTTCTCTCTCTCCCCTCCCACACTCCTTCCTTTCCTTCCTCTTTATTTCTTTCAAAAAACAAACAAAAAACCACCAAACACTTTAAATGTTCCTTTAAAAAAGCACCATAGGTGAGTCATTTTTTTGCCTCATTTCTCCCTGCATCCCCTACGCCATCCCAGGAAAAGGGAAGAGGGTGACCCACAAATGACTGAATCAAGACACTGTCCCTTGGCTGAATAGGGATCGCAAACAAGTTATCTGCTGACACAAAGAGTCACAAAATGCACACACCTTCTAGACAGGAATTTTGCAATTTTCATTCTTGTCTGTATAATAAAAGCAAAGTTCGAGTTTACAAACTTACAAAACCACAAATCAATCTATCACAGCCTAGTAACCCATAGTCAAAGAACCCACCATGTATCTGGACTCCCCCTCACCTTCTTCACTCCTTTGCATCTCTGCCTCTCATTCTGTGTACCTAGCTCCCTATTTCTCTCTCTCTCTCTCAATCTTTTTTCCCCTCCCTACTCCCTGGCTCTTCCTGCCCTCCTCCTCCTGCTTCACAACTATCCTCCCTCACTCTGCAAACCTGTCCCCTTCTTGTTGCTCTTTCTCCCCAGCCTTTCTTGTAAGGCTCTTTCCCTTCACCTGTCCCTACAGCCACCTCCCAGAGTGTTGCTTATAGAGGATTTTTAATCTCTTTTCAGCCCCCGATCTTCTTGTCCTCCCCCTTACCTCTGACCTTGAATTCATTATCTCTCAGGGGTTCTGCATCAAGATTAACCGTCTCTTTTTTGCTGCTTTTCTTCCTTCTGTGAATTCTAGGGCTCTGCTTCCTCAGTCGATTTTATTATTCAACAGGTTTCTATCATCTTCCCGTCTTTTAGAAATGTGTTCAAACCTTTTCTCTGTTGATGTTTTCCCTTCTGCCTGTCCACTTTTATTACAGTATTTCTTCACTCTTTTCTATTGAAGTCTTTATTGGGTAATCATTTGTGACTAAGCTGCATTTTGAATGAGAAATCCTAGTTGGTCCACATTATAAATGTAGTAGTTGATATATACATATATACACACACACGTACACACATATAAACAATGATATATATACACATATATATCATGTATATACACATATATACATACATATGTGTATATATAGATAAAATCTTGCATGTGTACAAATAGCATTGTTAGACAAACACACCATTGTTTCTTTAAAACTAAATGCTTTTGATATAGATGAATGTTTACTTAGAAATATCTCAGAATCAAAGAAAATGATTTCAGAATATTATTCTTCATTCCCCACCTACCCCAGGCTAGTAATACAGAGAAAGCTTCTTTAGTGGATCTACCATTAATAAGACTCCTTATTAGCTTAATCACATGTATAGCACAATAATATTTGATGTTCATATTGATGTCCTTAAGGCAATGCAAGATGCTAAAGTACCTTCACAATTATCAGAACAATGTTACGTTATGTTCAAGATTAATTTTAGGGCAAGTTAGTTTTATTATTTGTGATAAATATATTAGTTGCTCTACCATATTTTAGAAAGGATTTGAGGTGGTTTGCATAAAAGCATGCTACACAAAAAGACAAAAGAAAGCCATGGGGGAAAAGAATAGGAATGATAAGTGAAAGCTAGGATTGAGGTTAGTACTAAAAATGCTTGCAGAGTGTCTGGCATATTGTTAGAAGTGCACTACACATTTTATTCTGGATGCTTGAATAGCTGAACAAAAACCAGTTCCACGGCCAGCAGCACCAGTTCCTTGATTTCCAGTAAGTATAATACAAAAACAAACACTTTGCTGTGGAGGAGAGCTATGTTGAAACAGAGCTGGAGTGAATTGCTTCCTTTGGGCTCTGGTAGAGAAGCTATGCTCAGTGTCGGATATGGCATACCCCATAACTTCTTCCTAGTAATGGTAAGACTATGTCACACATGGGAGCGTTAGTAAATACGAACAAACAACTTGATAAGGTGCAATCACAAAAAACGTTCTTCTCCCACTCCCACACTATCATTATTTAATGCCTGTTGATTTTTGTGAAATTTAGGACAGGTCCCTCAGGTTCTTTTATCATTCTCAGAAGATGAAATGTTTCCACTCATTTTTAGTCATCAGAATAGTCTCCTTGTAGTTTTTTTTTTAATGTTTGGCCCAAAACTCTGAACTTCATTTGAAAGCTGAACTTTTTTTTTCCAGGCTGGGCTGGAAGTCTATGGTGATAAAAGAGGGCAAAGTCTTGCATCTCACTTCTAAGTTCTGAAATTTTCCTTCTCTTGTTCCTTACTACACAGTACCACTCCCCGCCGCCCTCTGGCTAGCCCCATGACTAAGTTGTCCCAGATCCCTCTGAAGAAGAGTGGAGAAGTCTGTCAGGAAGCATCTTACTTGGCAGGTGGCGCTGTGTGCTCACTAGTGGGGCAAGTGTAGCTAGCGCCCCTGCTGCCTGGGCTCTTCCAGGCTCTTCCTCCTCAGGCGGTGGATCACTGGGCTGTGGGGGGTGGGAGGTGGGCGGTGGGGGTGGGGAGGGATGCCAGACATCAGTCCCCTGCGCCCTTCCACGTTCCAGAAAACACATATCCAGCTCTTGCAATGTTCTCCTTAAAGCCCCTTTCTCCAAGCTGAGGTCAAACTGAAGGAAACATCCTTTCTCCTCCCAAGGGAAGGGGTGAGGGAAAATGTCACAGCACCGCAAGTTTTTTGTCCCATCTCTTCTACAAAGCCTCTTTATACCTTTGACAGAAGGTTCCACTAAAGGTTAACACTGTTTTCTCACACCTCCGTTGTCATCTTTTGTTTGACTCTGAGCTTCTTGGTGGCCTTTGCTGAAACTGATTCAAAACAGAGTTCCATTTTAATATCTTGCTGCTTTTTTTTTTTTTTTTTTTGACATTGCTGTGTCTTCGTTGCTTCTCAGGCTTTTCTCTAGTGGTGGCGACTGGGGGCTACTCTCTAGCTGTGGTGGGAGGGCTGCTCACTGTGGTGGCTTCTTTCGTTGCAGAGCGTGGGCTCTAGGACACATGGGCTTCAGCATTTGTGCCTAGAGGGCTAGAGATCACAGGCTTCCATAGTTGTGGCGCACAGGCTTAACTGCTCCATGGCATGTGGAATCTTCCTGGATTAGGGATTGAATCTGTGTCCCCTGCTTTGGTAGGCGGATTCTCACTCACTGGACCACCAGGGAAGTCCATTACCTTGCCACATTTTAAATAAAGTTATGCAGTATAAGTGGATGGGAAATATTGTTAAAGTGCCTTTCTGCTTGGAGGACCAAAACTGTGTTTCAGCCGAGAAATACTCTGCTAGTCCAGGTAGATGGCATTGTATTCTACTATCTATTTTCTCCATTTAACTATAAAACTGATACATACTCATTTTCAATAGATTATAAGACTTGATAAAAAGAAAATTTGTTAAAATTACTTTGTTCCATCTTTCAGGGATAGTTATTATTAACCTTGGTTAGTATCCTTTTATGTGAACGGTAATTCTTGCCACCTGAATCTCACTATCCAAATCTTTGTTTAAATGACCTATAAATAACTTGTAATTTTTTTACCAAAACACAACATCTGAAAGGAAGACTTGTTATAACAAATCCACTTTGTTACAGCAGCAAAACTGTTTGATATGTGTACAGATTCAGGAGAGAAAAGAGCGTGTTGCTGTAGGTTCTCAGCTCTTCTTTTGGCAAGACTGAATCCTGTGCAACACTTTAAACATGTTGTGCATTATCTCATCAGCTTCTCCACATTATGACATGAAAATGTTTTCTAAGAATGCCAAAAAGCCTGTTAAGAAAGTAGACGAGCCCATGAATTGCAGAAAACTATTGACAAAGGTGACTGAACTGCAAAACAAAATTTTAATGTTGATGAAATTGGGTTATTTTGAAAACAAATCCTTTCTCGTTCGCTCATTTCAGAAAAAGGAGATAAAAGTGCCAGAACATAAACCATCCCAAACAGGCTAAGACTGCTCAAAAGTGAATGTGATTCTAAGCTAAAAGCTCCACTGGTGTATCACTTCAAAACCCCTGTTGCCTTTTAGGGACTATTGAAAAATAAATTGTCTGTTGTGTGATATTCAGTTTGTAGAGACTGGGTGACAGCGTTCAGTGATTACACAAGGAACTAACTGTTTCCATTCATCAAAGGGTACAAAAAGATGGAAAACTTGCAAACAATGGTTTTTTGATAATAGACAGTACTCCCAGATGTCCTTCTAGTGTTGACAGTTACAGAGATAATGTCACAGTGGTCTTTATGCCTCCCAGCATTATGTCTTATTGTAGCCTCTGAGAGTCCTGCAGCCTTCAAGGCACATTGTTTACAGATGGTGATGTACTACGGGATGCTTATATGCTGATATATGGTCTGGTGTTGCCGGCAACACTGCTTCGATTCAGGATTTATGGAAGAGTTTTGACATTCAGAAGGTCTTCAGATTTATCAACTGGGTTTGGCATGTATCATA